ATGCAATAACATTACATGTACGAACCCAACAAATGTGGAAATGAATGAGGACTATCCTTAAGTTATCCTACTTTTGAGCTAAGGTTTTTCTTATTTTGTTATTAAACGTGTAAATTCTTCAATATACCTATTTCATTTGAAATTATTTGTAAAACAGCAATTTTTCTTATTCAATGTTTTTAAAATGTAAAAAACGCACATTTAAAAAAATTATATCCGCCACTGGTAACTTACCTTTATTAAAAACATCGTTTTTATAGGAACTTGTATCCTAATAAATTTTTTGGTCTCGAGATTTATCTCAAAAATGCTTTCATTTGAAAAACACAGAATGGTGGGTTATTAAAACAATCCTCCTAAATTAAAGAATTCGCACGTGCGCCACTGAAATTTTAAAATGTTGGTTCTTTACCTATGTGGTAGGAAATTCATCTCTTCAATTTTTCTCTCCAATTTTTTTACTCGTGACTTTTTTTCCTAAAATTCGTAGTTTTAAAGTTATTGTAGAAAAAGTAAAAAAAAGGCCATTTTTACCCCTTGTAGGGGTGGTTTTGGGGTGACGGGCTCAACGGTTCATCGCTGGGGTTTCAGGATGTTTAAAGATCTACAAAATGAAGCTCCATGCGAAATTTCAGCTTGTCTCTAATTTGTTGAACATCGGCCTCTATAGGCTCTGGGCTATAGCGAAAGAGACAGATTAACGATTTTTTAAAGCACTGTGGCCATAGACGATTTTTTTTTAGATTTTGAGTTTGGTATGTAAAAAAGAGGACTTTTTCAATACGTGAGAGAAAAGAGGACAGTGAAAACAAAAAGAGAACCTTCTTCTGAAATAGAGGACGGTTGGCAACCGTAGTCTAACTGGTCCCTATAGAATATACACTGTGTCAATTTTAAAACTTCCCACCCTTAATATCTTTCTTGCAGTTAAAAATATGAAAAATCGGAAAGACACGTCAATTTTATTTGTAACGGGGACATTTTAAATTAATATTTTTAGCCTTTTTCTTTCAACCCCCTAGGAGGGGTAAATGTCACCCTTACAATCTTAAATGGAAATGGGGGTCAAGTGGCACATCGTTTTAAAGGGCTTTTAATTCTCTTTTCAGTGGTATCCTACTTTGTTGCTTTTTGTCCAGAAGTTTCCGAATAATCGCGTTCCATAGTTGCAGAAACAATTAAATATGCCTGCATTGAAATTTTGGTTTTCAGGCTAGTGTTTACACAAAAAATATTGCAATGGGTCTCCTTGTAGTAGAAATGATTAGAAGATTAGGGGGTAACATGGACGTAACCGTTACATTTTTCTAGGGGGGTCGAAATACTAATAAACAGAAACCATTAACCGCATTAAGGTTTCTTTTCTCAAATTATTTATTATTTTTCTCAAACCCTCATATTTTTCGAGAAGGACATACACAATATCCCTAAAAAGTTAATGTTTGGGCTGGTGTTTTTGGAAATGCTTGAATAAATTGGTCCTTTATTTATTGAAGGAAACTTGATAGGGGTGATCTGCATCTGAATATGTTTCAAGAGACCAGTGATCCTTTTATCACCCAAGAGCTAGAAACTCAAATTGGTGCAGAGGGTAATCCAGTTTTACAGGGTAGTGGGCAATCAGAGGATTGTTACCCCAGTAGGACGGTGCTCCACCTCAATTTCTTCCGGTCCGACAGTGGTTAAACGAGATATTTCCGGGTACGTGGATGGGCCGAAGTGGACCAATTGCATGGCCTCCAAGATCACCGGATTTAACACCCTTAGACTTCTTTCTTTAGGGATATCTTAAATCTATAAAACACAACCTACTGATATTGATGATCTTAAAATGCGAATTATAGCAGAATGCCGGTCAATTCCCGGTGAAGTTTACCCAAATGTTATAGGGAGGAGTTTGAAAAAAGACTCTAGACTAGTTTTATTTAAATAAATCTTCAATTTATTTGTCCTATAGTAAAACGTTATTTTTAGCAAACTGTGCTATTTCTCTTTAGATCGTCCTGGCGTTATGGGCGCACAAATTGAGAAAACGTACATACATCAACTTTCCCGACACTATCCCGCGGGAATACTTTGCTTAATATGCGGCAAATTTGCGAGCAGCATAAAATAGGGAATTGCTCCTGCTTGGAGCGAGCTAATGGGATGATCTTTTACGGCTCTATTTAGGATTTCTGGATATATTTATATTTTTACGGTTATGGGTATATCCAGTGGTTTTTCCAGTCGGCTGGAAATATTAGTTTATTTAAGCTTCTGCGATATTTACTTTCTGAACGTATTTTTATTTATATGTTCTGGTTAGTTTTGGAGTTTACGTATACAAAATACAAATAATATTAATAGTAATAATCTTACTATACGAAACGAAAGTAGCTATATAAGATATGCTAAGTTAAAAAAAAGTGTATTACAAAGCTCGTATATGATTAAAGTATTTCATTAAATTACACAGCCACACAAAAAAGAAAAGTGGGGTATGCCTTTTACCAGACCATCATCCGCTATCAGAATTACGCTATCACATCTCATTTTTTTTTCTAACCTCAAAAACTTGGTGAAAATCCGTAAAATTCAGAAAAATGTAGTAGAAAACGCGTCTTTTTTAGGTCGCTGATCATGAATCTGACGTCGGATCCGCAAAATTCAAAAATTCAAAGGGGATCATATATGGCCGATGCGAATTTCAAAAAATCCACGGATCTGAACAAAATCAGTACGTGGGAGTTTTTTAGATCGCTGATCGCGAATCTGATGTCAAATGGGCATTGATTGCGTATCTGACGTGGGGTGTGCAAAATTCAAGATGGCGGATCCTATATGGTCGACCTCAAGAATAGCCTAAACTGTGGGCGCGGGACCTATTCGAATCGGACCCACGCCATCCTTCTATTATATATACCGGGTGCGTCTCAAAAGTGGCTTACCCCTATAACGTTTTTATTTTTAGTTAAAAAACGAGATTTGCGTATGTTAGTATATGTCATAAATTAGATTGATTGACATATTCAATGTTTCGAGTCACTGCCTGTTTCACTAATGATTGGCTTTTGATTTAAATGGCACCCTCGGTATTTTTTACTTTATTTGATAGAAAATAACACTCATAATAGAATGGCATATCATATCTCAATTTTTGACATTTCGCTTATATGGTTTATTTGAAATTATAACTTGCGGTTCGTAACGAAAATTTGACTCGAAATACTGTGTGGTATCAAATTATTCATTCATTTTTCAAAATGTGCTAATGAGCCATCCTCGTTCCATTTGAAAATACTGAGATATAGCGATCAAAAAATACGATTTGAGTATTTTTAACCGGCCAGGACAACATTATACCATCAAATCTGTTTTTCCAAGGTTTCTTGATTAAAAATTAGTCTTTTTAACATAGCCATGGCACTCTAGATTAAAAATTAAAATAAGATTTATTATTAAGCGAGAATGTCAAAAGTTGACATGTGATATATCATTCTATTCAGAATGTCATTTTATATTGATTAAAGTAAAAAAACCAAAAAAGCATTTAAAAAATCAAAGGTTGTAGTTATTTCCGGGTGAAACAGGTAGTGATCAAAAATAATTGAATACGTCAATCAATCTTAATTTATGTCATATACTAACAAACCAAATCTCGCTTTTTATCTGAAAAACAAAGAAGTTATAGGGGTGAGTCACTTGAGACGCCACCTGGTATATAAACATTTCTGACACCTTCAAAGGGAATCAAAATTTATAGGGTATTTTCGGTTGACCTAAAAAACTATAAAATTTAATAAGAATAAATGAAATAATTTCGTTGCTATTCCATTCAAAAACTCGAGTCCATTTATTGTAACGCGCTAAAAAATATTTAAATTATTCCAAAGTAAGTTCTAATGTTCGGAAACTTTTCCAAGTTATGAGTAGTAGTCTAACGTTTGTATAAAGAAAAGTTTAATCAACAATTATTTTTTCTGAAATAACGGACTAAAATGAGAAACTATGTGGACCATAATTTTCTGGGATGGAGCTTGTTGTTTTGAATCCACATTTCCAGAACTGAACTAACTCTTGAACAAAAAACTTGATTTGCCCAAAGACATCGAACTAAAGCTCGACAAAAGCAAGAGATAACATTTAATCAGCATTAAAACAGCCTACTCTCTCTGCAAATAGTAAAAACAGAGTCAGTGGCACAGAGTTTTTTTAGAAAAATACTCCAGTGATAAGCCATATGCACGTCCCTGGTGAACCTGTCCACACTTTTTAGCATTAAAGTATGTTACACTTATAATAACTTTTTACCCGCAAAATTTCATTCCGAATTGCTAAAAGCACTTGAGAAAAATAAAGACTTATCTCCAAAAAAATCCTTTATGGGTATTTCTGCCACTGCACTGCAAGAATAATCTACAAAATAAAATAGTTATTTTTTGTAAACACTTCTGCGTTAAACCCTAAACGGACACTGCTTATCAGAAGTTATGTTTACAGTAATAAAAATTTGCCTAACAAATAAAAAAAATGCTTAACGTTTCGGAAAGTTTATCTCTTTCCCGTCGTCGGAAGCAAAAAATGACAAAGAATAAAGAAAAAACTATTTAAAATATTTAAATTCAACTATTCGAGAAATTTTTTGCTTCCGACGACAGAAAGAGATAAAACTCTTTATCCGAAACGTTAAGCATTTTCTCTTTGTTAGTAAATTTTATACTGTAAACATAACTTCTGATAAGCAGTGTCCGTTTAGGTTTAACGCAGAAGTGTTTACAAAAAATAACTATTTTATTTTGTAGATTTTTCTTGCAGTGCAGTGGCGAAATACCCATAAAGGATTTTTTTGGAGAGATGAATCCGCCACATAGGTATGGACATTTTTTAATAAAGGCTACTCGTAAACTCACTGCAGCTACCAAACAAAGCAGAATCGTCGTATTTTATATGGGGAGATAGCACATGTTTTTTGAATTTGCCCTGTAATAATATACGTCAGAGACATTACTCTAAACCGTAACTCAAACTTGACATCTGATATGACATCAATTTTAAATCACATCAAAAAATATACCAAGAAAAATCACATTTCACCTCAATCAAAATTCTACGTAAAAAATGATCCCAAGGCAGGTTCTAAAATCATGTAAGTATCTTCTACATCTAAACTAACCAATTCCTGATATTTTTTCTAATCGTATTTACATTTTCTTGTCTAGTTTACAACAATAATCTGGTTTCATCTTTGTGCACTCAGCCCGAGTACCAGAAATCCGTCCAAGTATCCATTTTGGGTGCCGGTTCGCGACTTGGCACTTACACCAGCTTCTTGTTGAAGCAAAATCCGCTGATTTCAGCGCTTCATCTTCAAGGATGTTTGGGAGTCGAAAATATAGGCAACGATTTGAGTCATATGGACACCAGCTGTGCTGTACATTCGTATTGCGGTATGGACTCTGGTGTGGAAAAAGCTGTCAAGGTAGGGATTAGAATTACGAGTAATTGTTTTAATTTTTATATATTTCATATCAACTAAACTTTTAGTTACGTAATCGATTAAATTCATTGTTGCCAACCATGAAGATATTCAGGTGGTAGCTCTGCTCTAAAAAATGTCAAGTTGCCGCATTTATTTATTTATTTCCTGACATGTTTGTAGTGTTGTATTACGAGTTTTTGGTTTAAATAAATAGTTTTGTGATACTTTAAGCTTGAACATGTTTTGCAGTCGAACATTGTTCTTTTAGAACCTTTATAGTGCGAAGTGAACAAGATAAGCTTAATAGCCGTAAAAACTCATCGCAACTTAGAATATTTTGAACGGAAAGCGGTAGTAATGGCCCTTTATGTCCCTTAAATGCTGCTAAGAAGGTGAGTTTGTTGATGTAGATAATATAAATATGTATAGTTTAGACATACAGGGTCCCACTTAAGATAGATACCAGTTGAATATCTTGGCTGTTTGTTAAGCGATCTTTTTCATTTTGGCAGTGAGGCTGTATGGCTATGAGATCTTACATATTTGACGGCGCAGCGCAGTACCTGCAGACGCATTTTAATGGGGTTTGATATTTCGAGTCAAGAGCAACCTACCCTGGGGACAGTATTTATTACAGATCTGATTATATTCAATCCTCCTTACCTAAGATATTTAAGTTCTAATTTTTATAAATATTGATACAGGGTGTGTCATTAAAGAAGACATTTTTATTTTTATTATTATTTTTTAAGTACTTACGACGCCACTGGATAAACAACTGGTTTATTATCAATAACCAATTATCAAGTAATAATCGTTTTTTTATGATATTAAATTTATTCGTTTTATTGAGGAATATTTCAAAAAATCCAAATATAACTATTTGGATTTTTTAAAATATTCCTCAATAAAACGAATAAAAATCATATTTCAGATTCCATTGAAAACTGGGGTTTTAAATTATTTTGTAACTCATTTTATTCATTTGTATTAGCAAACCTAAAAAACACAATTTTTTAAAGTAAATAAAATAAATTGAAAATATTTAGGTTTTTGTATCGTATCTTATTATTATGGAAGCTATCTGAAAACTTAAATCGATTATTAATTGATAACTGGTTATTGATAATAAACCTGTTTTATCCAGTGGAGTCGTAAGTACTTAAAAAAATAATAATAAAAATAAAAATGTCTTATTTTAATGACGCGCCCTGTATCAATATTTATCAAAATTAGAACTTAACTATCTTAGGTAAAGAGGATTCAATATAATTTATCATATTTGAAATAAATACTGTCCTAAGGGTAGTTTACTCTTGACTCTGAAATAACAAACCCCATTAAAACGTACGTCTATGAGGTATCGCATTTCTTACCCTGGGCAAAATGTACGTCTTATAGCCATACAGCCTCCTGCCAAAAATGAAAAAGATCGCTCAACAAACAACCAAGGTATTGGCTTGTATCCATCTTAAGTGGGACACCCTGTATAAAATTAATTTATTTTTTGTTTCCTAAAATATTTTGGTCAAAAAAGAAAATATATAAAATTGGGCAAACGCTGTTTGTTTAAGCTAAATCACGTCACTAAAAGTTTACTTTGGTATGAACTTTAACTGTGGTGTTAAAAATTGTCAATGTAAATCTATGATATTTAAATTAAGAAAATTACAACTTTGTTTACTTTAAGAATTAAGTTGGTATAATCAAAATCTTGACACAGAAAATACGTAAGTAAATATTCGTTTGATTTGATTGGGAAATATTGTCGAAAATATTTTTTATTATAGGTTTAAAACAAAAACAACAATTTACTGTTGATATCAATAGTATAGAATAACATTTAAAAACTTTATATGCCTTTCTTAATAATTGTAGTAAACACAAACACTGATTTGTTAATCAGTTTATCCAATTAACACTTTGAATATCATTAAAAAAAATCTTTAGGTCCAAGGATTTTTATTTTAACTTTAAAAATATGTTGCAATTACATTAATTGTGATAATTTTTACAATAAGATGTTTGTATAATCAATTAATAATAAATACGGTATTGAAAAAATTGACAATTATATCTAAGGTCTGTCCTGCGAGAGGATAGATGACAATGACAGTTGTCTGTCATTTTAATTCAGAGGTAAGTCAAATTTTCGGTCATTTTTTTTTTGGATGTTGTCTGTCCAAGTCGTTCCTGATTCGTTTCACAAACAGGATAGATTTATATAAAAGCAGGGGTGGATGGGCCGTATGGGAAAACGGAAAAATTCCCGGTGGGCCGGTTGGAAGATGGGCCGGTCCCGATCGAAGCTCAAAAAAAGATTAATTTAGCAAAAATTAAATGGTTAATCTTCTAACTAAAGTTACGTAAAATTCTTAGTGACTGCCTAACTAACTAACCAATTTGCAACAATATATAATCGTTAGTTGCTTTTAAACATAAACAACGATTTGTTAAATAACTATTGTTAGATGTCTTCCTCTGAGACACTTATAATTTTAATAAACATCTGTTATTTGTTGTTCCATTTGAAATCTTTTATTATACAAGGTGAGTCTATAAGTGCACCTTATTTGTGCTGCTTTGTGCAAATATTTTCAGGGGTAGTAGATATGAATAAAAGAAACATAATAAATTCTCTTTACTGTGTTTCAAATAAGTCCAAAATAACCGAGTTATTAAAGTTTGAACTTTAAAAAAAAATATTTATTTTTAAAGAATTTTGCCACCTAAATCTTTCTGTATTTGCATCTCTTTTTGTGCCGTAATATCAAAGATTAAGAAACTATACCTTGGGAAAATTTGCGGTGAACAGGAAGTTCTAAAATATACAGGAAAATTTAAAAGAAAAAGCACGATTTTCAACATCTTTTTTTACAAAAAAAATCATAGACGTGTTCCTGGGGTCGAAATATACCAACCCTGAAAATATTTGCACTTATTTAAGACCCATTCTGTATAGTTTTACCACTATTCTTTTATTAAAACACATTTATATCCACTGCTTAGGTATTGCCTAGGTTTTTTTCGTTTGAGTCATGGCATTATCATACAAGATGCCAAATGTAGAACTTGCTTGGAAAAGTTACGTGATGAGAATTATACCAAAATTAAAACACGTATACATGACGAGGTTGCTGCTGTACCAGAAAAGAGAGAATTTCTTTCTACAATCTGTAAGAAAGTATATACCTAAAAAGCTAAAAATAATGTATTTCACAGAGGATTGGGCCAGCTGAACTGAATGAATCAGGAAGTCTTAAAGTTTCTCAAAACCGCGATTGAAAATCGTAGCATATTCAAGATCAAATTACCGTTATCGATAATGGAAATAAAACAGTAGAACCCTGTGAAACTGAGCTATTTTCTAGTAAAAATTCAGATGTCCGACCCGATATTGATCTTTATAAAAATTTTGATCAAGACAATTTCAATATTTTTAAAAAATCGGAGGCAAAAGAGATTTTTTTGGCCGAGCAAAAATCATCCTTAGTTGGGGTGATTTGACCCTTACCCAGGGTGTCCCAGAAATAAGTGCAAGTATTTTAAGGGGGGTAGATTTTGTCAAAAGAAACATTTTTTCTCTTTACCGTTTTTCAAGTAAGTCTAAAATAACCGAGTTATTTTACTTTGAAAATTTAAACAAAAAATGCCTTTTTGCTTAAATTTTGGGAACCACTGGATCTTTTCTGTATTTTCTTTCATGTAAATTTAATCTACTACCTATGTTGCCAGATTATTAAGAAATTATGTTTTCTTAACTTAAAACTAAAAAAATTCCAAAAATTTCTTCAAAAAATTCCAAATTTTCGCAAAAAAAAACCGATAGGCGTGTTTCTGAGGCCGAAATATACTACCAGTTAAAATACTTGCACTTATTTCTGGAACATCTTGTATATTAATAAATAAAATATGTTTCTTCGTTATGGTCATTTTGTTTCTGTGGATTTGGGCCGGTTGCCTGTTATTCCCGGGCCGGTTTCCACTTCCTCATCCACCCCTGTATAAAAGTGTTTATAAACGCTAGTAACTCGAACTTAAATCGTTATTTCTAGGCATACCGTGACACTTTTTTTTTGATCACAGATTATCAGAATTAAATTAATTTTAGAGTGCCGATGTGGTTCTAATTCTACCAACCGAAAATTTGAGTGCAGATACTCCCATAGGTGAACGCATCATGAAAGAGGGTAGCAGATTGCACAAGGTGGCTGTGAGGTGTACTCTTTTTGCACCGCGTGCTATTTTGGTGGTTTGTGTACCTCCCGTATCAGTAACAACGCCTTTGGTAACTGAAGTTTTCAAGAAGTCGAATTTCTATCATCCTGGACGGATCATTGGATCAACAGCATTCGCTCAGGTAAATGAATTTTAGTTATTCAATGCTTTAAGAGTCCATTACGCTGTACTGTTCTGGTTGCTCTCAGGGGTCGGGTAAAGCGGGTGTGTGGCCAAAGGAAATATATATTATTTCAGAAATCTGCCTTAAGGCTTAGCCCGATCCGGTCGTGTAAAGCCACACCTAGAATTGCAAACACACGTGTTTTGATTAAGGCTTGCAAAGCTTCAGCATTTGCCATAAAATAGCGAGCAATTTGTTACAAAACAATATAAATTATATATCACTGTAATCAGAAAACTTCAATCTATTTCCGTATTGTAACGGAATTTTAAATTATGTCTTTATTTTCGAGAAAATTTAGTCCAAACATAAGA